CTGTTCCTCCATCTTTAACCTACACCAGGGGTCGGCAACCCGCGGCTCTGGAGCCGCATGCGGCTCTTCCATCCATCTGATGCGGCTCTCTGTGCTTGTAAAATAATGAATGGATATTTAAATAAAATGCTTTATATTTTACTGCATTAATTTTACATCTGTAAGCCAATTCTAAATGTAAAGATTGTCTGTGTAAACCTGAACAGGTCCAACCCGGTCTTACTGTGAGACCGGGTTGACGCGTCACGCTTGTGTGTAATCATAGGCGCTTCCTGAGCTGATGAAGATGTGAGATTCTGGGCTTCTCCTCAGACGGCTCCTGGATGCGTCGCCACATTGGAGACAGGAACAAGCGCTATTCAGCCAAAGTTTCATAATCAGGGAACATTTTCTAAGTGACAAGTCTCGCTTCAGTCGGAGGAATCTTCCCGCATGCGCTCTGGTTCTGCGACGCGCTCCGAGCCCCTCTCCACATCTTCAGCTCGCTGTGGACCTTATGTAGTACACGCTGACAGTGAGCTGTGCTGAGCAGAGTCCAGCTCAGATGTTCAGATGGGAATCATTTCTTGAGTGATTTAGCTACATCTGCGATGTGCGTAGAATAAAATGTCAGTTCGTCTGCATGCGTCGGGGTAATTCTTTCTATTCTTTCTCCGTCAAAATAAACGGTCAAATACGGGAACTATCCGGTCAACACAAGCCCTGCTTTAACTGTTCTGTTTTCTTGTGAAAATTGTTGCAAAGAGATATAATTTAACTTGATTACCACCAGAGCCAGGCGCACTGCTCAGTTATCTCCGTCGCTGTAAACGAGGGAAAAACAAAATGATTGGATCCTTTTCTGACCTTCCCCACCTACAAAGTTTAATTACAACAATCAAACGTGACAGAGCCTGGATTTGTATTCTGAACAGTCTAAACATGTTTTAAAAAGAAACGTATGACAAAAGTGGCACCTGCTCAGTAAAACCACCAACAGGGTGAAAAATATCTAAATATTGTAGCAGAGACGGGCTACAACTTCTGGATCCACTTTATATAAATCGTTTTATTGATTATCTTCTCATGAAAGATAACTTTGACGTACACGAGTGACCGGTACTGCTGCTGTCACCTGTTGTGATTGGTTAAAGCAGCTCTCTGCTGTCTGAGGGTAGGCCCCGCCCACAACGCCGCGGCTGCTGTGGCTCCCAGTGTTTTCTTTACTGTGGGAAACGGGTAATAATGGCTTTTTGATGGGAACAGGTTGCCGACCCCTGACCTACAGGAACGCTGCTGGAGGCTCCAGTTTCTGAGTCGCTTCAGGAGAGACTCATCCCCTCACAGATTCAGCCTATTGTAGTGAGTTAGGCACACACACACACACACACACACACACACTGATTAACTGCTGCAGTGTGAGATCACCACCGTGTGGCAGAAGCGAGGTACCGTGACCTTTAGAGATGAAACCAGACCCAGGTTCTGGTTCCTACAACCAGCCATAACTTCACTAACTGGGTTTATAAGGATGATTATGGAGGGATGTTAATGCTGAGTAAAATAGCTAATGGAGTGAAGCTTCTAGATGGAAACATGAGAACTAACACAAGCACGGTTTTCTCCACCCTTGACCAGGCTGGTGCTGGCAGCAGCTTCTAGGTTTGTCTGTGAAGAGCAGGTGAGCGATGACCCAAAGTAACTGTGATTATTCTCTTCTTTTAAATACATTTTACACCAACCTGGGTAAAATAGCAAGTTATAGTTTTCCTTTCATCAGGGAATCTTCTCAACTTCTGCTTTAAGTTTCATTTAGTACCTACTGAGGGAGTGCTGAGTCAGCATCCATGTCTGCCCATGATGGTGTTCCCAGGATCATCTCCAGCAGGTGGGATTTGTCCAGAGTTCCTTCTTCTCCCGCTCTAGTAAACCTCGATGCTGGGTGGAGGGAACCAGCGGTTTCTATTTTGATCTGCAGCCCATCCCCCCACCCCAGAGCAGCTGTGACTACAATGTGGCTCATCACCAATAGTGTGAATGAGTGAATGTTGTATTGTAAAGTGCCTTGGGGGGTGCTAGAAGGCTCTATATGAATACAAGAGATGTACCATAAAACCAAAGTCATTGAAACAAAGTTAGACTAGCTGTTTTAAAGGGACAACGTGTAGTTTTTATTGTTAATCTCTGGAAACATCATTGAAATGTTGTTGAAAATGAATGAAATGATGCCCAGTTGTTGAAAAATATTGGTGGCTTCTTAACATTTGTAATGAGTTAATTTACATGTTATTTAATGAACCATGAGACATGAGATTCCATAGTAAATATGAAATCAACCTTATGGATCTGTGGATACTTTTAACCAGAAGATTGGAACTTTTTATTGCAGGGATTAGATAACACTTCGTAGACAACAGAAAGAGAGTCAAGTTTTAAAAGTTTAAAGATTTATTACTAAACAAATTAAACTAGACTAACTTGAACACTAAATGTATGGTGTAACTAAGGTGAATGAGACGGAGAATGGTGTAGTGTGGAACGTTGTTCAGAACCAGCAAATCCGGAGAAACGATTAGTTCTGGTGGGAGTGAAGGTGATGTCTTCCACTAAGCTTTTGGCTTGGAGATTCCTAACCCTAACCCTAAACACACGTTGAGACGCCATTCTGTCGGTCTACGTACCCTTGGCGGAAGTCCCCGTCTAGGTCAGGAGGTGTAGAAGTCCAGCTTGGACCTTTCTGGAGCCGAAGCCTGTAGAACTGCCGCGGCAGCCGACCAGTCCAGTCTTTGAGATACTTCCGGGTCACGACAGTTTGTTGGCATCTAACAAGACCCAAAACGGGGTCGTGATGGTTCAGCTTTTATTCTGAAAGGAACCATTGCTTGGTTGGAACAGCAACAGATTTTATCCAGCTTGTCGTTGGTTCTTTGGGCTGAAGAGGAAAGTTACGGATTGGCCACTCCGACAACTTCTCTAGAACGCTTTGAACTGGCGTTAAAGATGACGTGGGCATAGTTTTATACTTCGGATGTTTTGGTTTATGGTTGAATGAAAAGATGACAGATTTACCAAACACCACCAAAACCACGCCTCCGTCAGATCTGGCAGATTCTGATTGGATCAATAAAAGTAATGTGTCTTGTCTTAACGCTACGTGAGATCAGTCCTAGTGGAAACATTTAAAGTTATATTACTTATTATATTCTATAGGATTTTAATAAAGTAATTAATATTTTCATTTCACAGATTGGTCACATCTTATTATTGACTAACACTTTGCTTGATTAGCTTATTAAAAACAGAGTTCTGTGATTTATTAAAAGGAGAAAGTCCTTTCTTCATTCTTCTCTTGAGCTGGAAAGAAGCATCTCAGGTGTGTTCTTGCTGTGTCTTTGTAAATCCATGCTTTCGTTCTTTTTTAAACACAGAAACAGTTTTGTTTACCTGTTTGTAGCTACGGTTTCGCCGACAGCTGCCGGCTTCTTCAGGCTGACGCTGATGGTGGCGCGTCACTTCCTTCTCCGTTTATCTGCGGGCAGCAGAGGACGTTGTCGCCCTCTACTGCCCGCTCTCCCCTCTCCGACGATGCAGTCCCATGCGTGGTCCAGCGTGTAAACTCCGTCGTCTCTGTTCATGGTCCCACATCCACGTCTCCTTATCTCGATTGCTTCCTTGATCCATCTTTTGTATTTTTGTTGTTCAGTGGTTATGATCCGTGTGCTGTCCCAGTCCATTATATGGTTTTCTCTTAAGCAATGTTCTGTTACGGCTGACTTTTTTATTGTACTTTCTGCTTCTTCTTTTGCTGCTCTTGTGTGTTTACGATTTGCCAATGAAAAAACACAACATAAACACACCAACAAAGCCATACACAACAGTTAGAAACAGACTAGTACACCCAAAAGACAAAATATCAGCTGGACAAAAATGTGGAGTCATCTACGAAATCCCATGCAAAATATGCAATAAAACATACATAGGAGAAACCGGACGCCAACTCAATACACGGACAATAGAACACAGAAAGGAGTGCGAGAAAGAGGCAAATCGTAAACACACAAGAGCAGCAAAAGAAGAAGCAGAAAGTACAATAAAGAAGTCAGCCGTAACAGATCACTGCTTAAGAGAAAACCATATAATGGACTGGGACAGCACACGGATCATAACCACCGAACAACAAAAATACAAAAGATGGATCAAGGAAGCAATAGAGATAAGGAGACGTGGATGTGGGACCATGAACAGGGACGACGGAGTTTACACGCTGGACCACGCATGGGACTGCATCGTCGGAGAGGGGAGAGCGGGCAGTAGAGGGCGACAACGTCCTCTGCTGCCCGCGGATAAACGGAGAAGGAAGTGACGCGCCACCATCAGCGTCAGCCTGAAGAAGCCGGCAGCCGTCGGCGAAACCGTAGCTACAAACAGGTAAACAAAACTGTTTCTGTGTTTAAAAAAGAACGAAAGCATGGAAAGAAGCAGGTTAGAAGCAAATACATGAGACCTTGAGGCCGTATCTCATGCAGACTAGTCGTGTGTCAGAGGAGAGGGGGAAATGACTTTTGGTGGAAAACAGTCATTTCATTCCGTTTACACATTTAACCACAAAAATCAGGTCTAAAATACACGGGGGCGGGTCTAAGTCTATGAGCGACTCCATATTGGATGCCATGTTTCCTTCTACGGGAGCCCTTGAGGAAAAAATGCTGACTTGTAACAACAGATTACAAAACTTTCACCATTAATAAACATTGTTGTTTTACACATTTACCTCTTTACTTGTTGCCAGTGATGAAAGGGAGTCTGATGTGCTCGTTATTTTGCTGAAGTTTGCACTCCTCTGGCCTTTTTGACCCTAATGGGCATCAGTTGCAAGGTCTTACTCAACACAAAAGTGCAGCTTGCTTGCAAATATTTAGGTATCTACTGCCCCCTATCGCCAGGAAAAATAGACAATGTCACTTTAAGGCAGCGGGGACACTTTGGTCTTGGCTCTGGTGAGGCCAGTCGTTAACTCGTCGGTCCTAAAGGACATAAAAGAGACCTGAAGGATGACGCAATGTCTTGTAAAGCCAGGCACCTTGCTTACAAGGACACTGCCCTTCCTTTGTGTAAGAAAATGGAAATGGAACAGACTTGCATCACGTGGCCGCGGCTTCCACGGCGGTCATGTAACGTCACATGACACGGGCGATAACGTTATATTTTATACGTATTAGTTTCAATATAAATATATAACGAGACTTTTACTTTTTAAATTGTGTATATGTTTATTAAATTAAACATATAAGTGAGTTACTACCCGCTAGCCACTGAAGCTGCAACTACTAAGCGACTAACCAACCATAGATAACTTCTTTGGATCTAAAAAAATATTTAAAATTAGCTGACTTACTTTTACATATGAAAATGCTGCGGTGTATTCTGGGTAATTTTTGACCAAGGCTAGGCTACAAGACACCTCCCGTGTATCCTCGCTCAGCTAGCTAAACGGCTAACAAACGGAGAACACACGCCTCGGTTGAAGGTGAATATTGGAACACATCTTGGCGGCTCCTGATGACGTATCTCCTAGGCAACCGGGGCGGGGCTAAGACATCAAGGCAAGGTTCGTTGGCATGGGTTGAGAAACACCCAGGATGTAGAATGTTATTTTCCGTAGGTTTATTTGTGGTGGATTGCTACTGTGAAGAACTCCAAAGTACGAAAAAGGAAAGATTGCATCGGTGTGCTGCAGCCAGTAACAGCGGCTCTCACTTCGTTACTCTTTTAGTCTCTGTGCGTGTTTTATTGCCCTTAAGGTGGGCGCAGCTAACGCTAGCTCTCTTACTGCAGCACACTTCTCCTCGGGATACGTCGGCTCTGCCTCCAGCGTTATGGAGAAACGAAGATGCAGCAGAGCGGGACGAAAGCTTGAGGAGAGGAAACTGTGTTCATTTTTTTTACTGATTATTAAACTTTTTGGAAGGGCTCTGGGAAACTCCTGCAGCTCCGCACATGAATCGGTTGTTTACTGCAGGGATCGGTTGTGGGTGCTGGCGCTCTCTCCATGGAAACCCGGTTCTGCCTCCAGAATTAAGCTCTGGAGAGGGAACAGACATGTAAACCATAGTGTAACCATTTGTAGGCGGTTACTTTTAATAAAATTGGCAATAGAATATAAAGGTATTCAATAAAATGTCATATTCCATAAAAATATTGATCATCAATATTATTGAGCCTTTAATATTATATCGATGATGAAACTAGGTCCTTTAGTTAATCCAGGGAAACAACACTTTATAATTTGACACAGAAACAAAAACATAGTTTATAAAAATCTGTTAATGACTACATTAATGATGATGAAAGGCTGATGATTATAAATGGTGACACAGTGATGTTAAATGAGACCATGAATGAACTCTGATGAAACGTGACCTGCTGTGTTTAAGAGTTTTCTAAGTGACTCAGTAAGGTGTGATGTCTGGTTTATTAAATACATCTGCTGGTGCAATATTGCTCCAGCGGCTGGGTTAAAAAACGGCCCAAATTGGGTCATTTTTAACCCAGCTGTTTTTAGTGAGTATTACATTGTCTATAGACGGTATCTTAGTGGAAAGAGCACGTGAAGTTATGTTTTAAGGGCTGTCCTGGATCACAAATTTAATTGGAAATCTTACATAAAATATATTAAAAATAAATTGTGTAAAAGTATTGGCTTGTTTAACAAAGCTAAAAGTGTCCTATAAGCAACAACGTTACATATGTTATATTATTCGTTTATTGTCCCATATCTTACCTATTGTGTAGAAGTATATGGCAATACACGTAAAACAAGAACTAGGCCACTGCTTAAGATTTTACAGTAAACGCTAGGGAACATACTGATAGGTTGTTCATTCAATAAACAATAAAAATAATAAAATGTAATAATTTGGTTAGTTTACTAACTTTATTAGTTATGTTTACAGGTAATGAAATGTAACTGTCAATGGGGCTACAAAAATATTGTATACTGAATCCTAATTAAGGCAATACAAGAAAGAAATATGAGAGTTTAAAGAAATGTTTATACAAACAACACTAAATTTAATGTGTTTATCAGTTTATGGAGCAAAAATGTGGAATACATCAGAATATGATTTAACCCTCCCATTGTCTTCATGGGTGTGACCCCGCGAGGAAAGCTGACCATTGAGCAGGATTGATGGTTTATCTGTTGGCAGGGGTGAGGCGGTGCTCACTCCTCACCCCTGCCAACAGATAAACCATCAATCCTGCTCATGCGGGGTCACACCCATTGGGACAGTGGGAGGGTTAAAAAGCGTTAAAAAATGTTTCACTATCTCACAATTTAAGAAACTTTTCAAACAGAAAATATGACTATCTTATGATTTATGAATAAATTATGGAAATTAGTGATTTGTTTAGCATGCTATATTGTACAAATATGACGTATGAGGCCATTTTATGTTATGTAATGTGTTTTGTATTGAGTACTGGGGGGTAGCTATATAAGATTTTCTTCTATCCCCCGTTTTCACATAGAGATGGTTAGGACTGTTGTTGTACAATGAGTGAATGAACTGATGTGATTATGTGAAATAAATTTGTGAAATTAAATGAAAATGAGTTATCAGTTACATTCACATAATTATGTCAAATAACACATTTGCATTAAAGTTGCAGTGTGTAGTTTCCAGCCACCAGAGGGCAGTAGATACACACATGTCAGGGTAGTTTTACACCACATCTTCCTGACTGTTGCTAGTTAAACAAACATTACAGTAAATATTACCCGTGGGGCAGAAAGAATGCGGCCTTGGCGTGACTCCTCAGACTCTGATGCTCCTTCAGGTAATTCCATAAGAGAATGCAATGCCAATTGTTGTTGTCAGACGCTGTACTTTCCAGATCTGCTTGGGGGCTTGCGCCTGCTGATGACATCATCATACTACAGCAATACCGCTCAGGCAAAATATGTTGCATCTTTTTCAAGTCTTTCTAAAACATACATATAAGAACAAAGGTTAGCAGTTTTGTTATTCAATTGGTGTTCCTTACTGCCTAAATGTTTTTGAACGAGGTAACGTTACTTCCAAAAGCTGTACGTTCAGCCAGTGATCTGGTGTGATGTCATCGCCAGGCGCAGGACCCCAAACTGGCCAGTAGGAAGCATGGCGCCCCCTAAAGAGGCTAGACCCGCACCTGATGTACTTAAAACCTGATTTTTGTTGTAATATGGTACAAAGTCGCCATTATTTTTCAACAACTGGACATCATTTTATTCATTTTCACCAACGTTTTGATGGATGTTTCCAGAGACTAAAGGTAAAAACCACTAATTGTCTCTTTTAAGTGAAATAAGCTTTCTAAGCGTGACAGAAAGGGGAGTGCCTGAGGGTTGTAGTAAACACCTAGACACATTTCTCACATCTGGTTGGTCAAAGTTCATAAATAACCGTTTCATTAAAAGTGAACTCGCTTCCTATTTTAGCTAGTTCTGCCAGAGCTCAGCAAAAGATCAGAGCTCATGCTGAATAACCATCCAGTAGTTAATTTAACCCAGCAAGATGGGTTCCTCCATTTTAACCCAACAGATGAGTTAAATATTCCACCCAAATTCTGGGTCAAAAAAGCCACAAATCTGGGTAAATTCAACCACACATATGTGTTATTTACGCTACCTAAATGCTGGGTCACATTAATTAAACTATGGGTTGTTTCAACAACATAAAGTTCAGTAATAATCCAAATGTTTGGTCAATATGCCAAATTATTTCTAACACATTACATACGGTGCATTTTAGAAGACAGAAAATTGCACCTATCCACACTCAACTATCAAAACACACATGCTAGACTTGGTCACGTAAAGCATATACAATACAAAAAAACTTCAACAATACTGAAATCTTTACAAGGCACTGCCTTGAAATGTATTCATATAAATGTAAACAACATAAAAGTTCCAATCACTTCACATGAAGAACTGCAACAATGTACACGGAAATACATGTAACTCAGTGCTAAAAAAACAACATTTAAATGGTCAAGAGTACATTTTAAAAATACCTATTTCCTTCTTTTGCTAGCACGTATTCTACTCTGCAGAAACTTTACTAGTTTCGACTCCCCTCCTGGGATTTCATAGACGGTGGTTTGCAGGAATTTCCAGACGTGTTCATGTCACAGAGTGGAAATGTTGTTCTGTTGTCATGTTTTATATTGCATGTTTTTGTTTACTTGATGTGGTGTTTTTAGGTTGATTTTTAACTGTTCGGGTGTTTTGAAAGATTGCTGCAGCGTTGCAGCCCATTCTGTGTTAATCCTCCCTAATTGCCCACACCTGAGAGCGGGGTGTGGACTGGCAGAGAATGAACAGTGGCAGGACAGAGGGTTAAGGAGGAGTGAGGCGAGCGGATGTGGAGACGGGAGGACGGTGAGGGGAAAGGAAAAAGACTCGCCGGAGCCAGACGGACGCCGCAAGCCCCGCAAGCAGGGGAGGAGATCCACCAGGCACGGACAACAGCATCAGCGGCAGGAGAAGCAGCAGCCCTCCACACCTGTGTGGCGCGCACACGACCGTAGCAGCGGCGGAGAAAGAGGGACCCGCGGCCGGAGGGCCAGGCACGGAGCGCAACACGGTAGGCGGGCAGAGTTACTCTGCCCCTGCGAGTAAGTATTTGAGCAGTGCCTGGCAGTGGTTGGAGTTGCTGTGGGGCCTTTGACTGCCGGAGGTTTTTGTGTGCCACAGGGACCGAGGAGGAGGATTGAATCCACCGGCCGTCCAGCCTGTGGATCCCCGTGGACGACGTGCACCGCAGGAGGGCGGGGTCGTAGAGGGTTTCCCCTGGCGAGCTCATGCAGGGGCGTATTGGACTGCTTTGTCCTCTGGAGGCCCAGCAGACTTTATTGTGGAGAGCATCTTGGGCATCATCATAGCTTTTAGAATAAATTCCCTTTTTAAATTTGCTTTTGTGGTTGCGCTGCTTGCCTTGGTTTTAGAATCTGTTAATTTTAGTGGCACAATCCATCCATTCCACCTGATACGTGTCACATTCACACTGCCTCGGGTATTCAATGTCTAAATTAAAGAATGCCTTGAAGCAGGCATTGACGGCCTGAAGCAGTGTGTCATGTTCCAGAGCCTGACCAGCAATGATGACAAAGGCCTAAGACACATGCTGTGTATCATTTCCCAATGTCAGCACATAGGGGAATGGTCTTGTGGCCTTGGCCTCGTGGAGGTATTCCACCATGTTGGTTCCAGGCTAAAAAACAGAGAAAGAAAGCATAACAACGAACAGGTGAGAAGGTGTGAGCGAGTAAGGAACAAATGACTACCAACGTCAACCGGGCGACAGTGGCACAGGAGTTAAGTGCTTGCCCCGTAATCGAAAGGTTGCATGTTCAAGCCCCGCTCAGTTTGTCGCTGTCATTGTGTCCTTGGGCAAGACACTTACCCCCCCCCCCCCTGGCTAAGGCTACCCAGTGTGTGAATGTGTGTGTGAATGGGTGAATGACTGTGTTGTAAAGTGCCTTGGGGGGTTCAGGGCTCTATAAGATGCTATATCAAATAAAGGTTGTTTATCATTTAACTAGTACAGCAGAATAAAAAAAGACATTATGACAAGCATTTTCCTGGTCCTCACAAGAAATATTTAAAGAGCAAAATGCAGGTTAAAGACTCCCAGGAACCAATGTTTAGAGAAATACAATAGAAACTCGTTCAAATTTTTTTACACATATATAATTTAGGCTTTTAGAGTCATTTTTGAGATTTTTTTTTTTTGCCAAACCAAGTGACGTTTGCTGAGGGAGTCCTGTTAGTTTAATCTAGCGATGCACCGATATGAAAAATTTTGGGCTGATGCCAATATCCGATATTAAGATCACGGTTATGGCCGATAACCGATATTTGCCGATACCGATATACTGACATTAATGCTTCTAAAATCAGATTTTGTATAGAATGAAAAATTTTAAAGCTGAATTTACGTTATGTACACACCACACACACATTTACAGTTCTGAGATGATTTCATTCACTGTTCACATGACTAAACAATCACACATCACCCCCCTCACCCTCTGAAACAGGCAAACAAATGGAGACAAGATGGAAAAAATATTGGTTATTAATATCAGCCCGGTTTTATTTATCGAACCGATATCGATATGTAAAAAAAAATGACTAACATCAGCCGATACCGATATTCATCCCGTTTAATCCGGAGAAAACTCTGGATTCTAATGCGGTTCTGACACAGAGGAAGCTTTAAATGTTTATAATTCTACTTCTAATGGACCAAAACCATACAGCAAGGTCTGAATGGATTAAAACACAAAAGTGTTAACTTCTGAGTCAGTATGGTGTGGCAACGAGGCGATCATTCAGTGGCACTGCAGCCTTGTTTTAAAAGACTAAGATGGTTTTAAAGTGACCAACACAAGCTTGTAGATGACTTGACAATATTTGGAGGTATAGAATAACAATTCTAGATATGCGCGTGTGTGTGTGTGTGTGTGTGTGTGTGTGTGTGTGTGTGTGTGTGTGTGTGGGCAGGCGCACACACATTCATGAGCCAAAGAATAACAGGTACATGTTAAAGAAAAGATAAAAGTTTGCCTTTAGATGTACTGGAAGACTTACAGGTTTATGGTGGATGAAGGCCAAGTTACATTCTTCAATGGTGTGGCGAAGCATTTTTGCACTGTGGCTACGGCCAAGTTCGTAAGCAGATGGAGGGAGCAAGGATGGCAACTGCCTCAGGCTGAGTTCACCAATGGCATCTGTTGAAGACAATATAGGTGAGAATACAATGTGGAATGGCATACATGTGATTTGTCATTTGGTATCCAAATAACATGAAACCTATGGCAACAGTTGCATGCAGCCAATTCCCACCCTGTAGATGGTTATAGTGACATGTCTGTCACGAACAAAATGGCTCTCAGAGCCAGCTTGTTGATGTGACCGATGGGAGCCGACTCCCTCCTGCAGGAGCCGGAGAGAATGACACAGACTGTACCTGCAGGCTCTTGAGCCGCTAAAAGACTGTAAAATGTGCGCATGTGGTACGCGCGCACCAACACGCAGCATACCTCTGATTGCTGTGAGACAAGGAGGAAGGGGGTGGTGAGGTTGCAGCGCACCTCCGACCACTCTGAAAGCAGGGAGAGGGATGGCACGCACAAATTGCCAGGGACAACTACTACACTGAACAAAAATATAAATGCAACACTTTTGTTTATGCTCCCATTTTTCATGAGCTTAACTCAAACATCTGAAACCTTATCTACATACACAAAACACCCATGACTCTCAAATACTGTTCTGAAATCTGTCTGCGTGTGTGAGTGAGCACTTTTCCTTTAACAAGATAATCCATCCCACCTCACAGGTGTGGCATATCAAGGGGCTAACTAGACATCATGAATAATGTGCAGGCAGGGGCGGCTCCAGGATTTTTTTTCTGCAGTAGCTTAATAGTTGCTTAGTGACAGAAAGGAGTTGCAAATCCTAAAATTGTTCCAATTTAGCCTGAAGTTGTGTACTTAATTAAAAGAAATGACTCTGTATGACTTTTTAATAAGAGGAAATTAGAAAGAAAGAAAGTAACAGGAAAACATACTAATATGATCATAAATAATACTAGATATTAAAGTCATTGTCTTTTCATTACACAGTGAAAAATATTGCACTTTTGGACTGTTTTAACACTGTAATTTAATGTACCAAAATAAACACAAATCACATGCATTATGGTCAGGGAGGGTGTAGTTACTCACCAACTGATGTCAGAGCAGAATAATGCGTCTGTTGTTGTGGTTCAAGGCGAAAGCATCGATGATGTCCTGCTCATCAAGGGCTCTTGCACGTTCTGCGTTGATGGACAACAAAGCCAGGTTGCTGTTTCTTGAGTCCCCGCTTTTGCTCCTCAGGTATGTTTTGACGCGCCGTAAACATGAAAAGCTCCGTTCACAGGTTGC